TGATGGTTCCGGGGCCACCGGTTCCTTCGAGGATGTCGATGCTCTGAACGGCATCGACAACCTTAGGGATGAGGTTGTCTCCATCGAAGACGAGAGCCTTGTAGAGTGTGGCAGGAGCAACGGGGGAGATATTCTCTTCGGAGAAAGTGAAAACGCCCATGATGAGGATTTGATCTTGAGAAGGTGAAGACGATCGATGACAACGGACAATGGATCCGGAGGAGTTTGTTAGCTAGATTTTGCTTTAGCTAGTAAAGGGATGGTTCATGAGACGGGATATGGTACATATTTATAGTAACTAGGTAGCCGAATTAAACCGGTGAAAGTTTGATTAGTTGGGGTTGGCTGGGTTAGTCTTCAACTCTTCATTATACACAAACAGTGAATTGTTTTCCAAGTTGTCGACAACGACACAGATTTGTCAGAGATGGCGGATTTGGGTTCGGAGAGATTTATCTAGAAGGCGGGCTGCGTATAGTGGTCTTGATTGGTCTCACACCACACATGGTCCACCCTCACCGTTTAATTTCCCATAGAATTATTTATTGGGCCATCAAGAACTCAACCTGTTCGGCCCCTCATCTTAAGATAATAAATGTGACAGCTTTGTTAATTCCGACGATCACATGCCCACTTTTTTGTGTTTCCTTTTTTTTTTTCCAGATATATTTTTTAGGCTTAAGTGTGCTTATCCAGAACATGGGGTCTGATTCAGAATTGGATATTGAATTATTAAATCCATTCATTCAACAACAAGTGTCTTAATTACAATTACAATTACAATTACAATTATTATTATTTTATCAATATTTAAAAATTCTATCAGGATACGTTTTTTTCTTTTTAAAATTTAGAACAATCGACCACACGATTAGATCATTCCTTACGCTACATACACCATCCCCTCCAAAAATTCAAAAGAACTACTGATCTAATTTGCGATTTGATCCAATGTGAGAGGTGAGATTTAGTACTTTTGAGTATCATATAATAAAATCTATGACAACTATTTCATTAAATTGACAGTTGCTAACTTGCTATCATGCCAGTGCCACATGAGATATTTATTAAATAAGTGAATTTATGTCATTTATTGTATCTAAATCCGGATCAATAATACCAAATTTGTACAATTATCGCAAAGTAATAATAATAAATGTTTTTTTGGTCAAAGAATAATAATAAATATTACCCCTTCCTTTGTTGGCAATTTTAACTTGTTTCTAAATATAACATTCCTTTTGCCATTATTCACCTCATTTATTATTTTTAACAAAAATGCCCCTATTAATTACTCCACCTTATTAACTTGAATAATCTCACATTAAAGATGTTTTTAGTAAAATGGAGTCAATTATTGACACATGTGCCGCTTTTAGCTAAATTAATCAACCACTTTTTTGCCAACAATTAATCAACTTTCTTAATCTTCGTATAGTGATTTAAAGGTACCCATTAAAAAAAACAAAGAAATGAATTGTATTGAACACGTTAGAATTTAGTTAAATTTGAGAAAACTATAATTTATTTCAATTCTTAAATAATTTTTTCTCCGTAACTTCTAGAGCCAGTAATTTGGGTTAACAAAAAAAAAGTTGGGCTTAGTAAAAGATGTGTTTTAAATATTGGGACTGGCCCGAATATAATGAGATTACATTTTTAAAATATATTATATATATTAAATATTAATTATTTTTTAAGTTTTAGCCTTTTAGGTCATTTTATATTAAGATACCATATATTAGAGTATATTATTATAGGTGTTATTAAAAAATTAAAAATATTTATGTTGTCATATTTTTATAATTTTTAATTTATAAAATATCTTAAAATAATATTTAAAATATATTTTAATAATAATTTTTAAATTTTGATACCCACATAATTTTCTTAAAAAAAATGTTTAAATCTTTTACATCATTTAATTATCCTAAAAAATATAGATTTTATATTTTTTTATAAAATAAAAATAATTAAATTTAAATAAAAATTAAATTAAAAGTTGATAATTCGGATGGGCTTGAATAAGCCCGAAGCCTAAAGAGATTCGGGCTAGTTTTGGTTATTCAAAATTTTTTATAAATTTATATTTATTTAAATCAATTTAAATTGAGCTCAACTCAAATATATTCTATTCATCTAAATTATTGGGTTTAATAACTTCTTTATATCCTATTGCTTCCTCCCACGTGCATTTGATGACAAAATATTAAATTTGTGAGTTGATGTGGTTCACACCATTGGCAGTAATATTTATTTATTTATTTTGTACGTGTTATTTTATTAAAAAATTATTTAATATATTATCAGCCGTTAAAATGCCAGCATTTTTTATAAAAAAAATTTGAATTTAGATTCATCATGAAATTTTAATATAAAATATATAAGAAAAATGAAGAAACTGATAAATTTGGTGGCGTTTATTTAAAAAAAGGGGGGGGGGGGGGCCACCATGAAGGACAAAAGTTATCAAAGAATAAACACCATCTTCGCCTTAAGAAAAGTATCGCTTTACTTTCAACAGCGATACTACTATTAGCCCTTCAAATGCTTTATCTTGAGTAAAAACACTTCTGTTAAAAAAAAATAAAAAACTATAATTATTTTTTCTTTTGATTTTTTACTGGTATCCTTCTATTAGATATAATCTTGTTCGGGTCATGATTGGGTATTAAATGTGAGCACCTTTTTTAATAAAATTTAAACCCTAATTTATCATGTTATGAAAGGCTAGTCTCCTTCACTAGACTCAATTCTTATTGATAAAACTATAACTTATTTTTGACATTATGTATCCAGCATGAAAATATATTTTTTGTGTATGATACAAAATTAGAGATAATTAACGACTTATGATCATAAGTTTTATATTTTATATTAATATATTGATATTAATATATGTTCAATCTAAAGGTGTTTTTATTGAAATTCCACTTTTTTTTCTTCTCTTTTACATTACGTCATGATCCTGTTCTAAGGGATCAATTATTAATTGCACGTCGCTTATATATACGGATTATGGAGAGCCAACTATATTGTTCAAGAGTGTTGCAAAGACATAGTCCTTCCATTTACAAATTACAAAACAAAGTTGGAATCTATTATTATTCTAAGATATAAAAAATTTAAAAAAAATTATTAATGATAACTTTTCAATATTACCCTTTAAATAAAAAAAGAATTGAAATAATATTATAACATAATGATTAAGTATGTAAAGATTTTTTTTTTAAGTTTAAAATTTTGTTTTGAAAAAGTAAGTTTATAACGTGTCATTATTATATTTTATTGATATACTTAATTTTTTAATTTTGTTTTATAATTTGGAACAAAGAGAGTCTTTATATATAAGATATTTTTAATTGAATCATGCAAATTTGCGTAATAAAGGTTAGTTATATATTTAAAAGTACAGTAATATTTCAGTTATACTCCTAATTATTATAAATAAAAAATGAATACCTTTTTTAAAGTAAATTAATAAGTAATTATATTTTTTTTCTAATGTAATAAGGGTATAATGGTTTATTTATTAAAAAAATATGTTAATAATTTCTTATATTTAAGAGAAAAAAAAGATTATAAAAATCCTCTTTTATATGTATATATAGAGGGACGGAAGGAGTACATTCATTGGAATCCACCAATTATTTTTAATCCACAATTATTCTAGCTATATTGTTCAACGAATTGATAAAATCGAATATATATAGATTCAATATAATCAACTACGTATCATATTAGTGCTCTCCTGTGGGGTTGGGGTGTATTTTTTTTATCCGTATTGACAGCAAATAGAATATGAAATTGTCGTTTTGTAACGTTTAGTTTTAATTAATTAAATCACTATATATATTATCATGTACGCAGACATGTTAATTAGATCCCATCAGACATCAGAGTCTATGCATAAATTAAAAAAAAAAAAAAAACAAGCTGTTTACCCCAAAAAAAATATAAAAAAAACATCAAATATCGTCAAATGAAATACTTGTGTGCCAAAAATCCGAAACATTTATAATTCAGAAGAAAAAGGACGAGAAAGGACAAATCAATTTGCAGCCAATACAAAAGACGCACATATGGTGGAAACCAAATTAATTAGCCATAAAGTTACATAAACTTCATTAATTAATGGAAGATCATATTAGTGATCAAGGCTAAGATATATATATATATATATATATATATATATGGACCACCATATTATAATCTATCATGGTTTGACACCAGCTCCTTCAGTTGTAAGAGGGATTGGCCAACACATAAGCCTCCACAGCCTTGAAAAGTCCATCTCCCTTCTGCTTCCCAATCTTGAGCTCTTCTTCGCTAGGCTTGGCATCTCCCTTTGTCACGTAATTAACGGTCACCTTAACGACGGATCCGCCATTAGGGGCAGCCGTCAACTTGGTCTCAACGACGATCTTGTCCAATGTCTCAGGGAAAGTGTCGCTCTCTACCAAGGTATAATTGTATACGAAGTTGTCCTTGTCCACGGCTTCTACCTTGTGCTTCGCATAGTGCAATTGTCCTCCTGCATACATAGATACCACGTTAATCCTCTGAAATCTCTCAATGCTAAAGATTCATAGACAGATTATATTTAAACTGATTAAAGAAATGGACCTTCGAGGTAGTTGATCTTCTTGATGGTTCCAGGGGCACCGGTTCCTTCGAGAATCTCGACACTCTGGACGGCGTCAACAACCTTGGGGATGAGATTGTCGCCGTCAAAGACCAGAGCCTTGTAAAGCGTGGCAGGGGCAACGGCGGAGATGTTCTCTTCGGAGAAAGTGAAAACGCCCATGATGAGTATTTAATGTTGAGAAGTGAGGACGATGACAATGGACAGTGGAGGAGAAGGTACGGAGTAGCTAGATGTCGATTATGCTTAGCTAGCAGTGATATGGTTCATGAGACGATGTATGGCACGTATTTATAAGGACTGGATAACTGAGGTTAGGTGATGAAGTTTCACAAATTAAGGTTGTTGTGTTTGTTTTCATCGACATACTTTTTGTGTTTTCAACTTTGTTGACGAAGAGGGAGATTTGTCAGAAATGGCGGATTTGGGTTTTCCGAGGTTAATCTAGAAGGCGTGCTGCGTAGGAGAGTCTTGGTCTCACAACACATGGTCGGCCTGCTTCATCGTTTAAATTCCGATGGTAATGGAATCATTTATCGAGCCATCAACAACCTAAGATGTTCAAAGTCTTTTTAATAATAAATGTGACAGTTACTTTTAATAAAAAGATTCTTATATACTAGTACATAATAAAAAATAAAAAAAAATGTGACAGCATTATTAAGCCTCTAATAACTCATTTTAAAAATTTTTGTCAGGATTTAACTATCATAAATTCCCTCAATTTGGACTTGTCATTGGTGTCACTGAAATAAATAAACATTCATTAATCATGAATCATACAATACTTGTGAAATTATTACAAGAAACGACCGCACACGATGATAAATACAAGCAAAACATAAAAACAATGAAAATTAATCATGGAAATACCATCACCACATTGAAGGTGCAGAAAGTCACAATTGCAGAATGCTCATCACTTAATGAGCAATCTAGACTATTTAGATTGTAAATCTAGGCAGTCCAAATTTATCCATTTTATTTTGTATTTTATTATATATTTATTAAAATATAAAATTTAAATATTTAATAAATCTATTTTATTATCAATTTGGACAACAAAGGTTTAATCTAAATGATTTAATTTAATATTAATTTTTTAAAAAAATTATAAATTGACTATCCAAATATACTTTGAATCCAGTCTTAGTTAATTTATAATTTTTTTAAAAAAATAATATTAAATTAAACCATTCAAATTAAATCTATATTGTTTAAAGTGATAATAAAATAGATTCAGTAAATTTTTATTATAAAAATAAAATAAAAATAAAAAAAATAAAATTTATAAAATTTAGACTGCCTAGATTTCATCAAACCATTTCCGTGTGTGTAGGGATCCATTATGGACATGAGGATTAGCCAAGAGGCAAGCTTAGACAGCTTGAAGACGACCTGAAGCCTTGACTTTGGAGAGGCTGGCATCTTGTTCACTTATATTATGATTTTTACGTTCACATATACTTGAACTTGAAATCTCATATATACTTGAGTATGATTATAATCCCTTCTATTAGGACCAATGCATGCTAATAACTAAATGATATGTTATTCGTTTTCCTTAATATCATGGGCTGGGCTGCTGGGGTCCCTATGATGCTATGGTGCTTGAACTTTGAAGGTGACACTTCTCACATATAAGTCCAAATGGCTTGCAATATGATGCTTTGTTTGGGACTTTATATTCTTTCATTTATAATATTTAATATTTATTTACTATTTTCTCTATCCTAAATTATAAGATACTTTTAAAAAAGATTAAGCATTTTAAAATATAAGATACTTTGATAAAAATAAGATTTCATTAATTATGCTTTTTTATTATTACCCTTCCTATTCGTTCTCTTTCTTCAATATTCTTTTATCAATAAAGTATTAAATGAAGGACATTTTAAAATTTTATATTTTGTTTTAAAAAAGTAAAGTTGTAATGTATATTTAATGAGCTTTATTGATATGTGATATTTTTTCTAAAAGTATCTTATAATTGGAATGGAAGGAGTATGAACTATTAATTTCTTTCTTAATAAGATATAAAAATAAATAACCTTAGCACAATGCTCCATGCTTCGTTATTATTTACTTGCCATTAATGCTATTTTTGAATGGAATTCATCTAAAAATATATGATCATTTCATATTAGATGAAAACAATTCTCAATAACTCTTTCATTTGCCATGACTATTAATAAAAGTCAAGATTAATTTTTGCATCATCTTGAATTATATTTCTAAGCCAATCTTCACATATAATCAATTATATGTTACAATTACACTATCCATGGTTAGAAGTATGGATGGATTGAAGATACTACTAAAAGATCGTGATTACAAACGAAAATACACTACATCAAATATGATTTACAAAGAAGTTTTGAATTTTTCTGTAAGTCAATTAATGGTTATGTGTAAGCAATGGATAAATGATTTCATGTATTTTGTTGTAATGTAACATTTGCTAAAGGTATTAGCTCCCCATGCGATAGTAAAAGTTAGGAATTTAATTTAATGTGTTTTAATTTTAATTATGTTTGAAGATGTTTCACTTCACACGTAATTCAATAAGTAATGAAACATATCATTGTAATATGCTTTTTTTTTTTTAGAATGCGCATGATGCTAATCTAAATGAAACTTTTTTTGGCTAAATAATATTGAATTCATATAATTAAATGCTCCGTGTATAGCACAGGCAGTAATGGCTAGTTGTTTAAATGTCTGGTTATCGTTCGGCATGGAACCATGCCTTACATCTTCATCCCCCTTTTCATCCCCAAAACAAGAGGATGGGTCCTCTCAAAAAGAACACCAAAAAAAAAAAAAAAACCAAGAATGTATGAAATGAAACGAGAGGACAGTAATGGGGAATAAACATGTAATTAACTCTTGTCTTTGTTTGATCTGGTCCACACGTTTCTTCAGCTTGTTTTGGGAACACTGAACTCAGTTCTCACCTCTCTCTATCATTCTTGAAAGGGTAGGACAACAGCTGATGGAAATCTTCAGCTGAAAAACTTGTTGCACCAGAAACAGAGACAGCTCAGACGTATCTTACCACAGACCAAGTGGGTTCCTCACACAGAATAGTCTCACAAGCATGGAACTTAATTCTACTTCCACTCTGATTTGGACCAAGCCTTTTCAATTCCAAATACTACTCTAAACTATTGAATTAAAATTCATTAATAGAAAAATTGAATTATATTGGAATGGAGTACTAAACATTAAAAACTTGATTCAACCGGGTAGCAATGACATAAAACGCAGTTCTTCCACCTTTTCATTATTGCGCAAATAGTTACAGGTACATCACCAATGCATACATACATAAATACATACAATATATATATATATATAACACGATCTTGACTACTACTTTATATCCCTCCTAGCAACTACTAACTTACCACGATCTCAATAAACGCCTCCCTCATACTTATGGCTCCTGCTCCTAAAGCATACTAGCTAACAATTTCTGTCACAAGTTAATCTTCAAGAATAGTGGAACTCAACAACCCTTGGATGAACTCATATCTCCGAGCCTTCTCCATTTTATCCTCCTCCGACGACTGCGACTCTTGAGGCTTTCTGCAGCCACACACTTGAGTTAGAAAGTCAGTAATAGATAAGTTCTGAAAGACCAACAGAAAAAAATAGCAGTTCGTATATGCGTTATATAGGAAGCTGAAATGAGGTGATAACACATGTCTTTAGACACGAAACCAAGACTAGTTCCAATAGGCTTCATCATGAAGGCACTGACTGGTTCATGCTACTTAACTTCAGCAAAACAGAATTGCAATGAGTTTTGCCACATGCAGAATCTAAAACAAAGCACATCACATTCATCCACTTCTGAGACTCCCACATCAAATATTTCTGCAGCTACGAGTTCATTTTTTAACACAAAGAGAAGCTTAATCAAACCATTCCTACCTTTCCAACAAATCATCTTTCGAGCCATCCCTTACTGGGTTTGCTTCAACTGAAGGACAAGACATTAAACTCAGGGATTCATCAGCAACAACTGAGTTATGGATAAACGATGACAGCAGAGGATCAGGAGTTGAATTGGAGGGCGCTGCATATGAAGAACCTCCAAAAAGAGACTGCAGAGCTCCTTTTCTCAGCAACGAAAATGCTGAACCAGAGCCCCCTCTTCTATACCTCCTCTTGTGATGAGCGTAATTTGTGGTTAAGGAACAAAAGTGAGATCCCCAGTCCAGCATAGTTTATAAAAACTAAACTAGCAATCCAAGACATTTTACCCAAGTATAGAGACTTTAGGGGAGAATTTCTATCATGGCATAGAAATACAACACTGGTTCACCTGAGATGTGGAGTTCTTTTCTTACATGTTTAATGTGAAGGAACACAAACATACCAGGTAGGGGAGCCACCATAAGATAGTGAAAACGTTAATATCACCAAGATAACAGGCTACTGATTATAATCAAACACATTAGACGGATTCATAATTATCATTTAACAGCAAACCAAGTGCTGTGTTTATTTTTCTGAAACTTAACTCAAGTTTCATAGTGTTCACTTCTTAAAATCCATCTCACAATTACAATATTTTAATGCATACTTAAAACTATATAAGAATTGATGTAGCGTGAGAAGTTTTTCCCCAGTGAAATGTTTTTTTCCCCAAAACAGATTTAATAAATGGAGATAAAACTAAAGTAGCTATTGTATGCTCAACTAGCATCGCTAACATAGACCACAAAGCAAACAGAGAAGCCAAACATTACAGAAAGGCAACATGCTAAATGAAAGGATATCTTCAAGAAATTCCTGTGTTGCATGGTAATATGGCCAACAAGATCCATTCCCACCTTTTTAGCACAAACCGGACAGATCTGAAAATACATATAACAAAACATAATCATTTTTAGCATCAAACTTCATTGACAAAGACAAGGAAGAAATAATTTAAATAAACTCCGTAGTCCACATAATACATAGCTTAAATAATGATAAAAGTACAATCCTATGCTTGTGCATCAAATGGTCCAATTGCAATTAATGGGGAAAAAAGGAACTTTAGAATCAACAAAACTTAAACAAGATCGGGTACTATAAAAGGAACAAAACATAAAACAAATCCTCGTATTTTCTTGTTCAAAACAGTAGATCAGCTCTCTAGGTCTCTCCTTTGACTTAGCACCGGTCATCCTTGTGAATTCAACATGGAGGCACATTTAAAAACCCATATTCAGTCAAAAGATTGCATCAATAGACAGTTCCAGACAAAAATTACACTTTGCAGAAAATAATCACTTGTCACAGCATTAGAATCTCACATGTATGTTTACTGTGACAACTTGAATTTCATTTCCTTAAACGTTTGCGTGTTTAGCTCGACACGAGAAAAATATTAAAGTGTTCATGTTTAGGGAAGGACGCCGGCGGATGGAGACAAAAATCTTACATGGAATAGACTCATTTGTTTGACAATTGGTTCCCTTCTTTTCCTACTCATAACGACTAGCATGTGAAACTAAAACCATAGGAACAAATGAAAATTTATCATGCCAGAACCAAAAATAGGAGTGGTAAGTAAATAGAAAGACTGGAAATTGGGAAATTATATGAAATGAAACGAAAATAGATACCCCAGTATTGGCTTCCACAGGATGCTCCTCATCAATGTGGCAACAAAGGCCAAGGACGTCGTACTCGTCGCCACAGAAAGGACAGAGATACTCGGCCCTAAAATCATCATCTCCATCCGTATCGTCGATGCCACCAAGGCACGGATGATCTGCAAAAAAGACGAATTCCACGCCGACAATTCAGTAGTGAACATGACCAAAGCACCCATCAACTTTCCCACAATTTCTGTAGAAGCAAGCAGGTGGGGGGGGGAGAACAAGCTGGAAAATTAAACCCCAAAAGAGAAGTTTCCGAGAAAAGACGAACCAGATCGAGATTGATAGCGGCGGGAAGAAGTAGAGAGACGAGCAGAAATCCAGGAATCGGAGTCCATTAAGAGGGGAGGAAAGGTGGGAACTGGGAATGTTGGTGTCGGAGGAGGAGGGTGGCAGTTCGGTGATTTTAAGCAGGAAGTGAGGCGTGAATGGAAAGTGGCTAAAAGGGATAAAAGTCGAAGATAAATGAAGAAGGAGGGGAGAGAGAGTAGAAGTGAAGTGAAGAGAGAAAGAGAGAGAGTTGATGTAGATGGAGAGTGAGGCAGTCCTCGCCGACTTAACAAATACGCGGGGTGAAACGCCTTTTTCTCTGAGCAAGCGCTTTCTCTAAAATACCCTCGTCTCTTTCATTTAAACTCGGAAATGCCCTTCATCTGGTATTTTCTTCTTATAATTTGCAAGGACGAGAATCTCAATGGCTCTCGTAGCTCAGTTGGTTAGAGCACCCGTTTAGTAAGCGGGAGGTCTTGAGTTCGACTCTCAACGAGAGCATTTTCCGTTTTTTCCTTCCCTATTTACTTAAGCATCTTTTGGACCCCCACCTTCCTCACTGGACCGTCACTTGGGTGCTTCCTGCTCAATGCTACATGTTACGTGGAGAAAACTCTGCTATCTGCTGAATGCTGATCACAGAGACAGTCCTTTTATTCTGGTCCTTCATCCATGACTTTATGGTGTCCCAGTACTTAAAATCTCATTGTTTTTTGACCTCGTGTGCTGTTTCTCTTTATCAGCCCTTTCCAATTTCCATACTAGCTGTTCCATATTCCACTTATCTCACACGTAGACACAATTCAAATTCTTTACTTAGTCATTAGAAATTGTGGCCCTACTTGATACGAAGTATTGAGTTTTATGGGATTGATAAAAGAAATAAACTTTAAAATTATATTTGGTATGGTATGGGATTAAACAAAAAAAATTAAGACCTAAATCAAAAAAAAGAAATTAGCGAAAATATCCAAATGCCCTCATCTTCTTCCATCCCCCACTGCTATTCAACCCAGAAAAGAGAATACTCATTGGCTCAAATCTCCATCCCCAAACCCAGCAAATCTTCAAGGCTTCCTGAACACAAATGCATCAGAAGAAAATCGATCAAATTCAGGCATAGCTAAGCTTTACACACGACCCAGGTATTTCCAAGAAGATTTGGGCATATAGATTGTGTTCAAGAAGAAGAAATGCAGAGTGAAGAATTTGGATAGAAACTACATTTGACTTGGCCAATATTCAGGAAAAAGATACTCCACCCAATAAAAGCAGAAAAAAGTAAAACTATTATTGTTCACAAACTAAAGTGTCTCACATTGCGATCAGAACTGAAGGCCAAAACTGGAGAAAATAATTTAATCATGAACTTCAACCCAGATCTAGTGAACTCGAACTTGTCAATGGCAACTCGAACTCGAACCAGTGGGAGGAAGGAGGCGACTCAAACTCAAACTAATGGGAGGAAGATGGGAGAAGAACTCAAACTAAAACTCGAAACCCGTCAATGGTGGAGGATGGCAACAGCACAGGGGAGGTATGCAATGAAAGGTACATGACATCAGTTTTAAACATGACATTATTAGTGCTAGTGGAATTAGTCATTACTTTTTAAACAAGACATTTCAAAAGTCAAATTCATATAAATGTAAAAAATAAAAAAATAAAAAATTGTCTCTACTTAGGCCCGATAACATTTAAATCCAACAGTGAGATAGCCATGTCAAGAAAAAAGAACAGCATAATTGATATATCTTTATTTGATCGTGCAATTCATCATCATGCCAATATCTCTTCAACCGTACCCAAAGGCATGGTAGAACAAAATTATACAGACAGATTAATTTAGGAACGTCTATTAGATTTTTTGGCGAGAAAATATTTATTGAAATTTAAATTAAATAAGGAATATGGGGGAAAAAGAGGACTGCTCCTCGCGCGCACAATTGACTAGAAAGACATCAATTATGCTCTTAAACAAGGCATATGCCCTATACTTTTGGAGGAAAATTATTTAATTGATTACATATAATCTATATATACTAATTTATAACAAGTCAACCTATTCATAAAATTTATATACGATAATTTATAATGAGTCACGCTGTTTATATATTACATCCAGTATGACTCACTTAAAATGTCGTACAAAATACTACTTGTAGGGCACACTAATCCTGGCTGAGTGTATGGCACTCAAAAAGGGATTAATCCTGCAGGCAAGATAGTTTTCAACCCGCCAAATCACCAACACAAAATAGAAAACAACTTGGAGAGCAGAGTATGGTTATACAAACACAAAATTACCCTTTCGGAGGTGCCTCAGCTCTTCCTCCTTTTCTTTCTTAGAAAAGGCATCGCTCTGAATGCTGCTGTGGCGTTCTCGGTATTGCCATGAGCATTCTCCGACATGACTCTGAATGCTGCTGTGGCGTTCTCGGTATTGCCATGAGCATTCTCTGACATGAAAACCCCAGTGTCAGACTCAGACTGATCATAATTACAGTCATGATTCATCTCAATCTTGTGTTTAGTTGTTCCTCTATCTTGCAGTTCAATTCCAGATGCTTTATCGGCTGAACTTGATTGACAAGTAATATTTTTATCACATTCAGCCTCATCCACAAAACCAGAAGAACCATGAGTGAGCTCTGCACTATCCTCTACCATAGTTGCCGAGTTGTCATTAATTTCATTACATTTGCCACCTGTCTCATCATCATCTAGGCAAAATCCACCTCCCTCTCTTAGGTAGTTGTCGTCGTGAATTTCATTATGTTTGCTACCTGTCTCATCCTCATCGAGGCAAAATCCACCGCCCACTTTACAGTAGTCGGCATCACGAGAGCTATCAAAATTGTTCGCTCCTGCATTAGTTTTTTCTCCATCAGTACAGAAACCCCCACTTGATTCCAGATAGCTTCTAGACAAATCCTTCTTTGGAGAAAGATTTATTGTGTTTTCCTTGTGTCCGCTGAAACCAGAGTCAGCATTGCCACAAACACCATGCATCCCAGAAAATATTTCATCTATCGGCTCTTCGTTCAAGTCTGTCTTGTTGCTCAGATCAATTGAGGCATCAGCATCTTCAATTTCAACGTTGTCCATGGAATAGTTGACAATCTTCCGAGAACGCATAGACTGGAAACATTGGAGAGAAAAACAGCATCATGAAAAGTGTAAACCAGAAGTTCTGAAAAGATGAAACCGCTAAACTAGTGGCAAGATGCCGGTCAAAATATGCTTATCAGAAGAACATGAAATTATAATCATAACTAGGTATCTCACTAGAAGTATCATTGCATTGTCTTTAGCTTATAATCGACCAGGTGAAAAACAAAAGGCCAGAAAACCCATAAAAGAAAGAATAAAAAGGAAACAACCATAATTCCCAAGGGAAACGCTTCCATGCAACGCCACTCAGCAGGTGACAGGTTGAAGAGCCGCAACTAATTCAAAACGATAGCAACTTAGATATTGACAAGATAACATAATAAGTTCTACTTCTTTTGGTGATTGCGCACATATTTGATGGATGTAAAAAAGATGTGTCTCTGCTCCAACATGAAAACTAACAAAGTGAAGAGCTTCTAAGTCCCACTGAAGAAGCAGAAAAGAACGGGAAATATCTACGGACAATGGCATGGTCGATCTTTTGTGTTTTTAACTTGTCCCTATTAGTCATCCAGATCAAAATCCCCTACTGACCAGCATTTACAGATTTTTAAAAAAAAAAAAATCTACATCATATGATAATTTTCTTCCTTGACCAGGAGAGATTTCATGGAATGGTATACAGGGGAACAAGAAACAGGTGGTTTTTTTTTGGCTTACATTCCACATCAAACAGCAAAAGTCAAGTTTAAACTCCCCATCAACTCCTCCATCAGTGTTTTTTTTTTCTCTCTTAAAAGAATAAAGAAAGAAAACCGCATAACAACAAAGCATCTAAAGATGAATACTATTCCAACATTTTTTAAGCTATCAATTCGTGGAAACAGGACAAAACGTACCCTTCGCACCTCTTCTGTCCCTCTTGAGTTTCTACCATGCACTTCGGACTCATGGTCATCACTGTCACTATCACTAGATGTAGTTTTACGTGAATCAAAACCAAGACTTCTCTTCCTCCTTCCTCTTTGAACTCCCACACCTTTGCCTCTGCCTTTGCTACTTCTCAAACCACCCCCATCTCTTGGCTGAGTTGGCTCTTCTCCTGTCTGCACATCTACCTCAGTCAGACCAGAAGCTGTGGCAGGAGCATTCAATTTACCCTTTTTCCTTGACTGTGTCTTAGCAACAGTATCACGAGAATTCTTCCTTTTCCTTGACTGTTTCAAATTCAATGGCTTCATGTCAGCAACGCTTTCTCCTGTTTCCTTAAAAGTCTCTGATATGCTAATCCCAAGTTCAGCAGGAATTCCTGTATCATTCTTCCCACTCTTTGACAGCAAGTTCTCCGCAGATTCATTTGTCAACTCTGAAGAGTGATTTCCAGTGATTCCTTTCACTGCTTTCTTAATTCGCTTACTGCGAATTTTTGCGAATCTTTCATTGAAACTATAAAATGCTTCCAATCGCAGTTGAGTCTTGAATGAAAAGATTAAAACCAAAAAAAATCAGCATGTTATTGCATACAAAATTGAACACGTAAAAAATATGCATTAGATAATCCACTGTTGAAAAGCTTTTGAAATTTACATGGACCAAAATAATTTCATCTTTTTAAGATATTAAATGCTTGATGACATCAGCATGTTTAACAAAAGAAGACAGAGAACCTCTAACCTCATGCTTGTTATATTCTTTTAAAACAGGTAAAAGCAACTCATCTGCTTTCTGACTAGTCCAGCCAAACTTCTCCCAGCACAATCTGTATGCAAATAGCTATTAGTAGCATCATAAAATGTAGGAAAACAATTTGAAGGTTGCCATTAAATTCAGAACTTGCATAGTTCTGTCAATATGTTGACCCTCACAAAACAATATCCCTTTCTGATGTTTGAGCAGAGAGCAAAAACCAATATTATAATTTCAAAAGTGCACATGCGGATAATAAAAGAAAGAGGCCTCATTGACTTGATTGAATTATGACGTCCATGTGAGAGACAACCCTTAACTCCCCCCCTTCTTAATGCCCTTCCAAAGTCAGCCCACCATGCCAGATGCTCACTTAATGAAAGTTAAAAGCTAATATAGAGAAGAAAAAATGTAATCTAAACTCACTTGCGAAGAACAAGATGATCTGGCTTTCCCCAAGCAAATGGATCCGTTGACTTGTCCACTTGAGGACAAGAATAGGCAGATATAACTGTTTCACTTGGAAAAGAAGAAGGAATGTGCCAATTCTTGCTCACATTTCTCTGTATAAGAAACCATAGAAGGAAACAATTCATGTCAAATATGAGACATTATATGCAAGAAACATCCATAATATAATGATAACAGATAAAGCAGAAAATATGATTACATGTTTATTCATAAAAATCTGCTTGATTTCTTGGATGTCATCTGATGAGTCATTTTGTTCCTGAGCATGGAAAACATTTTGATCCACCATAGTCTCTTCTACATTGCAATTTGTGCCAGTAACGTTTTCTTCAACTTTTGACCCTTTCTTTCGGGTGGTGGATCCTCTTTTTGTTTCAAACCTTCCAAAGATGGTGGGATCAGGTGACTCAACCCACTGCCGGAATTTCAGAAGGCCATCTTCCTCAGGGAATGCATTTACAACCTCAATAGCATTTACAATTCCAATTCCACTACAATGACATGCCAAATGAGAAGATGCAGTCAATTTACCTAAATCTAATATATTCAAGCATATCACTGAACTGCAAGGTAGTTCTGTAATCAGACATCCACCATATATTGTAAGAAAACATTTCAGACAAGAAAGATAAACCCAGATATGAGTTCAAGGCAGACAGTAATTGCATCACTAGCCACAACAATTCTAAGGCCTGTTGAGGCACTAGTTATATATAACACCTTACACCCTCAGTATAATCACTTCCCAGAAGCAAAGCCATGCGGATTAATTTTTCTCTGGTCAATCCAAGCTCCTTCTCAATGTCCTGAACCAAAAAGAAAGGAAAGTGTTTAAGCATGAAACTGTTACACTAGAAATTACTCATCCTTCACAGGTACAGACCTCCATGAAGTATGTCTCTACATATTTGCGGTCATCAAATATATTCTTGTAGACACTACGTGCCCCGAATAAAAAGACATCAGAGTCATCAGTCACAACACCATCCACCAGTTTTGCAAGCTCCAAATAAGCACATTGTGCTTCTGCTTCCATTGGAGCAATAATATATGGCAAGCCAAACATTTGCAATAGTTCCTACAAAAAACTCAGACGCATCAACAACAGGGGGGATCAAGAGTTCTAATTCAGACCACCAGGTCAGTACCATATGATGGTATGGTACTTATGTAAAGACCATCAGGTTATAACATATGTACATGACCAAGTAATCAATTCATATAAAAGATGTTGCTGTACAATAGTTCTTATCAGAAGATCTAACATGCCAGCAAATTTCAAAAGAATTTTCCTCTGAACAGACTTGCCTTACATGTATGGAATGCATAATGAAGGGAAATTGAGTATGTGCTCCCATCAAAGAAGATTTCAGATATTTTACAACAACAACAATAACAAAAAACCTTATCCCACTAAGTGAGGTCAGCTACATGGATAACACAATGTCATTGTGCTCTATCATTAACCAAGCTTTTAGGAACATTGTTAATTAAGAGATTTCATTCAACAACTTCCATAAATGTTTTTTTTTTAGTCTTCCTCTACTTTTTATAGGGCTTAAAATTATCTATTCCACTCTCCTCACTAGTACCTCCCACGGCCTTCTCTCTACATTTCTAGATTTCAAATATTTTAATTAAATTTATTTTATGTTTTACTAAATTCTTTAGATTAGCGTTTCTTTTGCTTTTACTTAAATTAGGTTACCATTTATTTAGGGTTAAGTTATGTTATAGTTTATTACTGTATTTCAAGCTTTATAACGAATTGCTAATAAGAATATTTTGTCGACAACATTATCCCCCATATGGCAATGAAAAAAACGCTTATTAAAGAATTAATTCATGAGTGGAGGACAGATGCTAGAAGCAACGCCACACTGGAAAAGCATAAGACACAAAACAACTTTTTTGATATGGTTAAGAGAGCCATGCATCATGTCAATGATGAATAGTCAAACCTGACATTCAGTGAATAATTCACTGTTGACAGATTCTGCATTGCGTTCAAGCTTCCTCTGCTCATATTCTAGGTTGGAATATTCTTGACCAAGAATTCGGATTTCTTCCTCCAAACCACGATCAACCGCATCTACAAACAAGTGACCTGGGGCTTCCATTGCATCTTTGACAAGGTTGTTCTTGATTTCTCCAAAGCTTCCATGGTTATCCTCCCTAGGCAGCTCCGAGTGAGTTTCAAGGTTTTCAGCAGAGAAAAAACCTGGGGGCTCCATTGCATCTATACCGACATTACTCTTCCTTTTATCAATGCTTCCACAGTTGTCATCTCTAGGCAACTCTGGCTCAGTGTCACGGTCTTCTGTTAATCCTTCCAAGGAGGAATCCACAAAAGGAGCAACAGGCTCAGGCATCTCAGAATAATTACCAAAAGGTTCAGCTTCATTGCTACAATTCTTTATCTCCTCTTCTGAAGCACCAAGGGAGTCAGCTACAGGAGATTTGTCGCCATTGGTAGACACATTGCCATGTTCATTTAAGGTACCCACGAGTTGCTCAGCAACATTGTGAATCACATTTCTCCTGCTTTCATTTGCATTGTACAGTAAATCTTCAGAATGTGGTCCTATCTCCAATGAACAAGGCTTCTTAATAAATGACACCATCTTCTCGCAATCAAATGCCACAGATGGCTTTGACTGTCCCTGAGGAGACTGGGAAACTTGTATGTTGCTTCTCACTGTGTTATCCAGCTTATTGTCATTGTCAATAATTTTATATTCACTGTGTTTAGTGTTATCTTCCCGTTGCAAAGTGGACTCACCCATTCTGATGTCTCTATTCAGCACACCAAAATTGCCACAAATACCCTTCACTCCAGAATCAACCAAATTATCATCTTGGTTTAATTCATAATCTGATTTGTCCCTATCGGCATTTGAATGTTCAAAACTGGATGATGTGCAATTAAGTTTGTGGTCCCCCATGACCTCAAGACTTCTCCGTATTGCCTCCTGTAAATCAGCCTCCTCCTCCAAGCAACCTCGAGATGTTGCTCTGTGTGCCTCAGCTGCACACGTCGTTGTCTTAGCACCATCACAAACTCCATCCTCCCATTCTACATCAGATTCGTCATTATAATTATCTTTTACAACAGATTGTTTTATTTCCTCATTCACATCACTTTTACCTTCAACAATTCCTTCTTCCCAGTCACAATCAGAACTAGAATCAGAAACTTGTTCTTTCATTGAGGTCTTGTCAGCAGAGGAAAATACTACTGAATTTCCTGCTACTAAACTAGTAAATAAATCATCATCATCAAGGCCCTTGTTATCACCATCATCCATGAAGGATATTTCCAAAGAAGCATCCCCTGCTGATGCAGGGTGTTCATTTCTAGAATTATCACCAACCAAGTCAGCATCTGACCTGTCCGGGCCACCAACAAGCAGGTTGTTAAAACTTTTTGATGCAACACTTTTCTTTCCACTAAGAATTGAATTATTATTTTCTACCTTATTTGCAACTGTTCTTTCCATCTCAATCTCCTTCATCAGATCCAAATTTCTTTGTATGTCACGGGTCATACGCATCCCCATAGCTCTAAGTCTACTAACACGAAATTGGCCCCTCTCATCCACATACGTTTGGATATTCTCATCAGATGGACTTCCACCTTCACTGCAAACTAATCCACTTGTGGTACAAGAATCATTGGCAGGACCACTGTTATTAACAAAAGCCTGAGAAAAATGGTTTCCTAGTGTCTTCTGATGTGCATCCTTATTTTTCTCTAATTTGGTAGAAGTAAGTTCTCTGCAACATAAAAATACGGCAATCAAATGAAATCATTGAGGCAAAAAATCCAGCACCATCATGCCCAATCAATAAAGAATAACTATTCAACATTGATATTAAAAAAATGGAGCTATTAGGACTGATATCAGCACAAAATGAAATAAGATATAACTTACTGCTTATCACCGGTAAAAGATGTCGAAAATATGTACTCTCTGTTGGCTTCAGATGCAATACGAGAAGTCCGTACACCACCAACTGCTCCCCCTGCGGCAGCTTTCTGCACTTCATTTATCTCCCGACGAAAAGCAACAGTTTTAAGATAAGCCTGTATTTGCAGTTCCGAGAATTTTGCAGGATCCTGAATGATTCCACAAAGATGCTGTCAGACTACCGTAATCCCAGCTACATAGTTTTCTCCCCCCCCCCCTTTTCACTTTTGCAAAACAACTATTTATATTGAAAGTATGTACTTTTACTTAAAAAGTAATCAATAGATAATAATATTCCATCAGATGGCAGAGATAAACAGATCCCGTCTTGCATATACTAAGTAAATCTTCTACATAACGCCATACTAAACTACTGGTAAGACATGCATAAAATGTACCAATGATTACCATCAAAGAAGTTGCAAAGACAATTCAGATGGCCATACATAGAACTTCGCAAAAAAATTATGCCACCAACTTTCAATATATCAACATTGATAATTCCTGACAGAGTTTTAAAAATTGAAGCAATAATAACCACATTCTTATTTCAAATTCTACTGAAAAGTGACAGAGAAGCAACTTCTAAAGGTATGCACTCTTAGCATTGATGTCACAGGTACAATTCAGTGTATGTTTTATATTTTCATTGATCATCAAAACAACAAAAAAGTTTCCAAGTTCTGACCAACCTTCTTGACTTTCTGATACGTCTGTCTGTTCTCTGCAATTAGTCGCTCTCTCATCTGCAGAAATGTTTATCAATAGCTAACATCAAAATAAACTAAAAGGTGCTGAAATTAGAAAATACTCTATATCTGCACATCTACCTGACCAAGAAGGTCGAGTTGCATTGATGGAGGCAAAGAGGCTAGAACAGCTGGATCGACATTACCATGCATTGCTGGCTGCAGAATTTAATTATATGAAATTAGCACACCATCTTTATGCTTAGGCAACTAAGTATCAAAATTATTCTAGTTGATCCATAAACTCACAACTGAAAGAGGAAGCATTACTTCCCCAAACAAGTGTCATATAAGCCATCCTCAAATTCTTCAAGTTACTTTCCAAGGTTATCCTTATTATGAAGAGCTCTACCAGACTTCAAAAATTGCAGAAATTGCAATGAGAAGAAGAATACCTCAAGACTCAAGAGTTAACTCACCAAGATCATCTCTTCATCTTCCTCATTAATGTACTCCTCTTCCTCAGAGATGAAAGCCCCACCAGACGTTGATGCTTTGTTTACTAACTTTTCATTTTCCTCAGCCAAAATAGATGCAGCCAACCTGAATATATTCACCAAAATAATCAACCTTTACCAAGCCAAACAGCTAGCTAAGTAGAAAATCACGCAATTACATGCAACTCACATTTCATCTATTTTGTCTCGATTGTGTTTCTCTGCTATCATACCATCACTACTTGAGCTACATCCTACTGTGTCATTTTCACGAGACAGAATCCCCTCACCATTGTCATTCACTTCACATTGTTTCTGGTTGTTAGAATCCTTCAGTAGTCCTTCTATTTTTTTCCCTTTAAGCTGTTACCAGACAACAAATATAAATTAAGAACATACAAAGAAAAACCAGCATATCATGAAAGAGCAAGCAAGTCGGTCAAAAATAGTCAATCCTCAATATGATTAAGAGTAAATATCATGCAAGTAATAAAGACATTACATTATATGGTATAAAATCCTCAAAAATGTCATATTATTTCCATCATTACATTCTAGTTGATATGTTCTCTGAATACAGATGTTAATTCTAAATTTAACACCAAAAAATATGGAAAACGAAAAATCATCTGGCTTAAGTAGTGACCACTGACAGTATGTTTGAAAGCTAACCTGAGAGAGAATATCAAGTTGCATTGACTGTGGTAAAGCAGCTAACACAGATAGATCAACTTCAGCACCTAACGCTGGCTGCAAGGAGAAAAACAAAACAGCAACAAGTAATGTAAATGTTCAAGCAATTCAAAAGCATTAAAAACAAGAATTAAGATCTGACATTTGCATAGAGACGTTCCCTTATATGCCACTAAAATTTTGATGGTGCATTCCAAGTAAGTGTGAGTAAGAAACATATATAACAGTATCCAAAAGTTAGATGAGAGCTCATAACATTGGAATGCCAACTAGTATTCTCACTCACACAAAATTTATTCTGTGGGTATGAATCCTCGAAAGAGTCAAACTATATAAAGTTACAAGTTCAAGTGCAGTAAAATATATATATATATATATATATACACACTCAGTTCCATTGATGATTGGATGTTGTAATACACACACACACACACACATATATATTTATCATAACTAGTTAAAATAAAATATCGATTATAAAAAATCATAATGAGGCACACACTTAAAATGAATTAAATTTCAGCAGTGAAGAACAGTTAGGAAACGAGAGAATAAAAGTCAAATACAGGAGAAATACAATTAAAAATCTTCAGCATCTATATTGAGTTTGAAAGGGGGGAAAAATTCAACACTTATAAGCCTGGTTTTCTGGTCAAATGGAGGTAGCATGAGCTGGATTTAACAAATCTTAATGAACGCTTCTCAATCTGTACACTGCAAATCCAAGTTTGCAAACTGTGAACATATCAGCTCGCAGATTGCTGCCTCACTTCACCAGATTCTATAACTCAGCGCATTCTATCTATCCCCTTTTGCAAACTCACCACTATTATTTCTGGATCTGTATCACCTTCCTCTTCAGAGAGACCAGCTAGACCAGATGCTGCTTTTCCGTGTAATAATCCATCTTCCTCTGCAACAATGGACGCTGCCAACCTATATCAGCACGTCCAGATATGATAGAAGAGTTATCCACCACATCTGAGAATACCCATACACAACCCAAAAAAAAAAATGATAAATTGTCATTTATGCATAACTATTTGTTCAGGATGAATGCATAGATAACTTACATTGCATCAAGATCCTCCTGATTACAGCTTGTTGATGCAGTAGTCTGGGACAGATTCTTGTCCACCTCAGCTCCAGATCTAAATATATAAATCAATCCAAAAATAATAATAAAAATGAAAAAGCTTGATCATAACTCTTAGAGAGACAATAAGATCACAGGGGCTTATGCAACTCACATTTTATCTTGCTCCTTTTGATTGTTTCTTCCTAAATCACGGCCAAGCAAATCCATCTGAGCTGATTTCTTCTGGCCCTTGCTGTTCTGCTTCAGCCTCTGTTTCTTAACATTGTCTGAAAGTTCTTTCAGTTTCAATGCCTTTAACTGTAAACAAAAATTTGAGGGGGGGAAAGTTGAAAAAAGAAGGAAAAACATAAGTAAGATAGCTGAATTCCAGTAGCCAATACAAAATATTTGATGCATCACCATAATGTGCTTATTTTGCCGTTTCTGCTCAGCCATTAACATTAAATGAATGGTGGTGCTGTATTAAATGATAAATACAACTAGCAGAAAGGGTTAAATCCAACATTTTCAGGCATCTATGACCATGAAATCAGGAGTCCTTCATAATCTGAGACAAAGGTTAGAGAAAGGGTATCTTCGTATTTAACGTATCAAAACAAGAACACGTTCAATTTCAGATTTTTGAGGATCCTTTCGTCGCTTCTCACACTGTAAAAGAACATCACATTATTATGAATTACTAGAAGACAAATAATCCATTGGATAGAGAATCATATACAAATGTCTCGGAAAATACCGAACGAACATCCTACCATACGGACAAGTAGGTTAATAGGTCACAAGTGAGCAAACGATAGAAAAACCCCCATAGTGGATTTTAATATCGCTGACAATCACTTGATAGACTTCATAAGTATTTGGAATAATATAATTATAGATACGCCATGTCGGTTTTCATTCCCATGAAGCAGAGAGGCCCACTTATAAGAAACACTCTTTAATGCAAAACTGCATCTAAAGGTAACATTATTGGAAATGACATACCATACCGAAAATATCAAATAGAACAGCAGAAACTCACATGATTGAGAAGCAATTTCTCTGCAGTCTTTCGAACTTTGGCCTGAGCGTTTTCCCGCTGTCTCCGACGCGCAATCACAGTCCGTCGCTTGAGAACAGGCGTACCGCCATCAAAGACAAAAACAGGCTTAGTCCGGAGGAACAAGAGCTTGCAAATTCGGCGAAAGAATCCGAGCAAATGAGCATTGTGAACCATTTCTCCCTTCTCATCCCGCATCGCCTTCATAAACTGAACCATCCATATGCTCGCATCTGCGAAAATTCACATACCCAAGTGATTTTCTTGTGATCGGAAGAGATAGGGATTGAGAGAGGGAGATGGGGAAATGAAGTACCAATGGCGAGCTTCTTCCCGGCAAGGGTCTCGACGGAGACCCGACGACCGACGGGGGCAAGAAGTTCCCAGAGCCCCTTCACTCCCATTGTCTTGCTGCCCAAGCAGTTGCCTTTGCCGCGCTCTCAAAACTATGTTGTTTCCACCCGCCACTCGAGAAAGATGTTCCCGAGTCAGAGCGCCCATCTCGTTATATGAACCGTGGGATGGATCTGATGATTAATTTTAAGCCACGTTATCAAATAAATGTTGACCGTTGATTTTTTTTTTTTAAACAATAAGGAGTGAGATTAGATTTGCAAAGTAGGAGGGTATACATAATTGGGCCCTGTCCAGGAGTTTGTGAGATGGATCAAAGTTTTGTGGTCTACTACTCATTGTTGCTTTCTTGAGCGGTGCACTCAGCTCTTTATACTTTGGGCTCCTTCGTAATTATCCTGTTCTAGGCTATTTCACACTTAACAACAATTCAAATTCTTTACATATAAACAACGGATATATGGTAATTGATAATGATAATTGATCTTATTTAATTGTGAAAATTTTTTATATATTTTTTGATAATCACAAATTTTTACATAGTTTTTGAAATTCAATTCAGTACTATTGTATATTAAATTCAACAGTTGCTGAGTTGAATCGGAGTAAATTTTTTAAATACATTTTTTATATGTAGAGCAGTGTTTTGAAACTCGTACCGAACATCAAATCGGAAAGACCAACACGTTGTGGTTTTCATGGTCTAACTGGTTAGACCGGCAGTCGAACCAATGACATAAAAATTAAATAAAAAATAATATTTATATGCGCGACAATATAAATAAAACATTAAATTGGCAATGGTACTTGGAATCTCGACTCCAAAAGCTAGATCCTTGGACTATTGAAGCTAAAGGTAAAAGCATGTTAGTTTAGGCTTGTGATCTTGAAGGAAAGTGCTGGAGATGGAGGCACGCCGTCATGTCATGATTCACAAACTTCCGATCTCAATATCAAAGGTTGGATCTTTAGAGTTTGATGCAATAGTTGGAGGTTAGACCATGGAGGAGAGATTAGAGATTAAAAAAAAAAGAAAAGAGAAAATTAGTGATTAGATAAGAGAAATTGCGAATCCAAGCAACTTAACTTAAATTTTTTAAAAAAAAAATTTGGCTTTGAACTGAGTTGACTCGGCTCCAATTTCTGGGTCAAAATCGGTTCTCTCAAAACTGGCCGGTTCAATTCGGGTCAACCCGAGTTAAATGCCATATTAGTTCAACTAGTTGAATCAAACCATTTTATTCAGCGAGTGGCGGTTGGACCATCCAATCTAGTTTCAACAACACTGATATAGAGGAGCTTGGACCTAATATCTCATGTTTAAACAGAGATATAATTCTTTTTATTATAATCAATGCCTAGTAGTCAACTTATTGACAATTTAAACTTATAGTATTTTGAATATTAGGACAGGCAAACACAATAAATAATCAAATATATGAAAAAGAGAAGGGAACAACTCCTCCCTTAAACAAACCTCAAGGGACGAATAATGAAAATAACTTTAATGTGATAAGCTGAATTGTAAACTATTATTTTCTTACAAACATCTCAATATTGCAATTATACTTTTATTAATCAAAAGGAATCTCATTATGCCTTATTCTAGTTATTGAAAACCTATTAAAATTATATGAATAAAAATAAAAACATCTTTTAATTTTTTGATTAGGCATTTCATAATTTCAATCAATAGAAGTAGGGTTGCACAAAAGACTGAACTTTGACATGACCTGAAGTATGGTCTTTTTTATGAAAAAACTGAATTAAGCAACTTGTAATTAAGTTTGGTCCAATTGTAATCCAAAAATTAACAAGACCAGAATTAGTCTATAAGACTAAAAGACTGGTCTTAGTAGTTCAATATTCACTTAACTTTTTTTTTCCTTTTTCCTGTATAAGAGATAAAAATTCACTACATCCTAATAAACTCAATTAAAATAAAAAATACTTATAATTATAAAAAAATTCATAACAATCTCTAGCAATAAAAAAATCAATTTTAATTCATACGATTCAAATTCATAACTTCAACAATAACATTCAACAAACTTCAACAACATGTCTAGCATACATTACAACAATAATTTAGCGATGAAATGTGAACAAAGGGAACACTATATTCAAACTTCAAACTATGCAAATATATTAAAAATAATTAAAATTATATTAAAATAATTTCATAAGACCAGACCAGATCAAGTGGTCTGAGAAATTGGTCTCTTATCTACTCCAACATGAAATATTAGTATGATCTTTTTAATCTCTTTAGTCTTTTAGATCAATTTTTTTTACTAGACTGGATAAGATTAAACTTATTTGGGTTGGATTGGACAGGACAAAATAATCAGATTTTTGCACAACTTTAAATAGAAGTCACCTCATACGGGAAAGTAGAGGGAGTATTTTATAGGAAAAATGACAAAAAAAAACATGAAATATCCAAATGGCAATTAGGCAAGAAATGTAATAATTATTTTCTATTCAACGGGATTTATCTCCCAATTAGTTTCAATGTTAAAAGACTTTTTTACCCTTTTGAGAAAATTTGTACAACAACTTATAATTTTTTATTCCATTATAGTTATTTTCTCACGAAAAATAGTTATTTTTCAAAAGAAAGTTGTTACTAATTTTTAGTTGTTGTACCTCACCTATAAAAAAATTGCACAGGATAATTTGTAATTTTCAATTTCATTATAGTCATTTTCCAAAGAAATTCATAACTAATTTTTAGTTGCTGGATTTCAATGACCAAAAAAAAAGTACACATGGAAACTTGTAATTTGTTTTTTTTTAATAAATAAAAGAGCAGCCTATAAGGTGTTAGAGTTTAAACAATCATGATCTAGCAGTCTTTTAATCTCATGAGTATTACTAAATTGTTGAAACTCGGGTCCATGTTGAAATGCTCACTTAGCTAAGAAGTTTACAGCCTTAGCCATTGGCTAAGGGATACGCATGCAAAACCTCAACTTTCCACTCTCTTTGAAGACATGTATGAGCTTCCTCAATTAACAACCCATCTTGTCCCCTCCCTTAGCCAATTCTATCACCTCAATGCAATAAAAAATCTTATTGAATACATTTGTCAAAAAAATTAAGAGTATTTTTGGAAAAATCTTATTTATTGCATATTGAAAGATCTAAAATGCCACATATACTTTAAAACCTTATCTTTTCACAATATTTTATATTTTTTTAATAAAGAGAATATTTTAAAGATATTTTTCTATCATTTTTCATATTTTATAATTATTACACTTATAATTTCTTCGAATGATGATGATGAGTTTCTAAATAAAGAAGTCATTGAATTTTATATTTTTTCCCGAAAATGAAAAAGTTAGAAAAGTTACTAACGAGTTGTGTCCATTGTCCAATGAAGGAGGGTTAATTAGGAAAGTGGAAAAGCTAAAATGAAAAGATTAATATTCTTTACATATTTCTGAAGGCGTCAAGTGGTTCAGTGCTCCACCCCAATTTAAAAAAAAAAAATTGCAAAAATAAAATTTTTATAAAGTTATATTCTAAAATAAAATTAAAGTATGGCTTAGTGTAACTTTTGGGTATTATAATTTTAAAAAATATTTTTAATAATATGTTTTTATAAAAAAAACCAAGTAATATATATTTTCAATTAACGGTCCATTTGAGCATTGATGTTCTAAGATGCATTTGGGATATTACTAAATTTTTTATATAAAACATTATTTATTTCCATTTTCTACCCACTAAAATTATCCGCAACGCAAAAAAATATATTTAATTGTTTTTTTATGTTACAGCTATAAATTTAAAATTACTTAAACTAGACAATTTATTTTATATCTTATGAATACTATTTTTTACGCTATACTTATAGATTTTAATATTTATTCAATATACATCTCGTGTTAATTTTTAATAGAGCAAGTAATTTGAGCAGTTGGATTTATTTAAATTAAGCTTAAAATATCCTACTTTTTTTTAAAAAAGTTATATAGTCAAACTTGACTCTAACACCTTCAAGTTTCAAACTTATTTGGATCGCTCAAACGCCCAAAACTTTTTTAAAATTTTTTTTTTTTATACTAATTTTAATTTTTAAATAATTCTGTTAAGTATAAAAATATTATTTTACTTTAAAATAATTAAATAAAAATAATAAAATAAAAAATAATAGTTTATCAACTTCGTACTTAAATAACTCTATTACTATTTTATTATATTATATGTAATTTATTCATGAATATTTTCTTTGCTTATAAATTAATGTCTTAGTTGTTTAAATATTACTTTTATTATAATCATATATAAATATTTATATATTTTAATTGTAATCAAGTTTGTCTCAATTTAATTATGATTAGACTATTAACTTAAAGTCATTGTCCCAATTAATTTAAAGTTTTTAATAACTTTTGGATAAATTATACTCTCTCTATTTAAAAATATGAGATATTTTTAACCGAATTTCACCCCTTAATAAAATGAGTATTTTTTTAACTAACCCATCTTTTCATATTTATTTCTATTAAATACCCTATAATAAATATAAAGTCATTATTAATAAGGGCACTTTTAAAAAAAGGCATTGATTATATCTCAAAAAATTAAAAATGTCTCACATTTTTTAACATTCAACTTCTCAAAAAATATCTTATATTTTTAAATGAAAGGAGTATTATTTTTATTTTTAAGAATATAAGAAAAATAACCATCATTATATTATATAAAACAAAAATATTTAACTATGAGTAAAATATTTTTTGTTTGGAATTATTTTTTATTTAACTTTTTTATATTATTTAACCTCTATATACAAGGAGTATTTACTCTAGTTTATTCTCAATTTTTAATTAAGTTTGATATAGATGATAACGAAATAATTATCTAAGAATATTGTTTTATTTATTGTGTTTATCTAATAGTAGAGCGAAAAATTTATACATTACTAATTTTTATTTTTAAAATTATTTTTAATTTTTTTAATTTAGAATTAATTATCTTATTTTATAAAAAATGTAAAATATATTTTTTTTGGATATGCAAATGATGTATAAGACTCAATTTTTTTAAAAAAATTGGGTCTTAAAATATAAAAATTAATTTTAAAATATAT